CTGCTTACATTACTATTCGTATTTATGGTTCCCTGCCTTACATACTCAGTACTTTATTCGTACTAACGTCTTTTTGTTTGTGGACGCTGCATGTCGTGTTGCAGGCCCTGATAAACAGGCAGGTGCAGCTCCCCCGCCACAGTAGGTTGTCCAGGTCAGCAGTGATTGGCGAGATCCCTTCTCCGGACTCGCTGTGGTCTTGGTATGCATTTTTGTTATAGACATTATGGGTATGTCGGAGCCCTGTTCCGGCTATGTTGCAGCACTTATGTTCATTTAGAGGCTCATAGACAAGTGTCGACTCATGTATAGTTTGGTATGCCTTGTCGGCTGATTTAACTTATTTGTATAGTCTTTCATGGTAGCGTGGTAGCTCGTACCTTATATGTAGTTTCTTGATTGTCTGGTCATCCCCTGCTATGTATGTTCATGCCATCATATTTTATTGTTGGTTGTCCATGATCCATGTCTACTATTTATATTGATTTCGTCAACCCTAAAAGATAATAAAAAAAGGTTAGATAAAATGTATGTTGGTGCTCGGCAAGTATGGTCGGGTGCTAGTCATGACCCTCCAGTTTAGGTCGTGACACTTGAACCCATATATTGGATTGGTTGGACGGACAATTAATATGTAGAGCCTCACCTAGCTAATTTCCCAACCCTATGGTCTCGTTCTGTTTTAAATTAAATTAAATGTATTAAATTGCTTTTGGTCAATAAAAAACAAATTATTAACTGTTCCTTTCTCTCCAATAAATTGTGATTTTTCAATCATTGGTTGGTTAATAAAACAAAATTTGGCAGCTAAATAAGATAAATATTGATTCAGTTTAAAAGATATTTTTAAATAAGCAAACGTACTACAACTGCATTCTAAAAACTGGATCTTTTCCTTATTGGCGGAATAAATCTAAAAGGTTGAAATTAGTTTCTTGGTTACATTTAAAAACTGGTTGATTTTAATTTTAATAACATTCATAAAGTTAAAACGTAGTAAACAATTACGAGTAACCACAAATCAATGGCAAGAATAGAATACAAAAACTATGCCGACGATGGAAACAATCGAAGGTATTAAAATACTTTAGGCGAAGAAGAATTGACAACAAAGAAAATCATAAAACAAAGGAAGAAACAGACAATTTTACAGAAGCGCAGAGGTAGAACTTTTAGATCCTACGGTGTTTGGATGGACTTATTTTAAGTAGCTTTTAAGTCATAAATTAGGATTTCTAGTTTTTGACTTGCTTTTATTATTTTAGCTTAAAAATACGGAAAAAGGGTTCCAAATACCTCTAAACTATTGAAAAAGGTTTAAAAATACTCATCATCCACCTATTGGGCTGAAAATACCCCTCCATCCACTTTTTTGGTTCACTTATGCCCTTTGACCGTTAGGTCAATGCTAAATTTAAAATAATTATTATTCTTTTTGTAAAACTTAAAAAAAAATTACAAAATATTTTTGTTTTTTAAACGAATGCACCAATAGTCCACTAATTTAGTAAAGTCTTTTTTTTTTCATTTTTACAAAAAATTCAGTTTGAACAAATAAAAAATCAATTTTTTTGTAAAAACTATTTTTTTTTGTAAAACAGAAAAAAAAATGTTTTTAATAAAATATTTTAGTTTTTTAAAAACTGAAAAAAATATTTTCAACAAAATATTTTTGGTTTTGATTTTTTTTTTCCAGTTTTTGTAAAGCATTTAGTTTTATTTTCGTTTTTCAGTTTTTTTTAAAGAATAAAGTATTTTTGTTTTTAAAAAAAACTGAAAAAATGAAAAAAAGAATATTTTTCAAAAACAAAAATATTTTGTTGAAAATATTTTTCCAGTTTTTAAAAACGAAAATATTTTAATAAAAATATTTTTTCTGTTTTTACAAATTTTTTCATTTTTTACAAAGAAATGCTTTAAAAGAACTGGAAAAAATGAAAAAAAAAAATATTTTTTGTAAAAACTGAATTGTTTTTTGTAAAAACTGAAAAAAGAAGAAGAAGAAGAAGAAGAAGAAGAAGAAGAAGAAGAAAAAGAAGAAGAAGACTTTACTAAATTAGTGGACTACTGATGCAATAGTTTAAAAAAACGAAAATATTTTGTAAAATAATTTTTGAAATTTTAGAAAAAGAATAATAATTATTTTTAATTCAGCATTGACCTAACGGTCAAAGGGCATAAGTGAACCAAAAAGGTGGATTGAGAGGTATTTTTAGCCCAATAGGTGGATGAAGGGTATTTGTAAACCTTTTCCAATAGTTTAGGGGCATTTTGAACCCTTTTTTGTTAAGAATAAATGCTTAAAAGCACTTTTTTTTTTACTTTATCCAAACACTACAAAATGACTTAAAATTGATTTTGGCTTAAAACCACTTAAAATAAGTTAATCCAAATGAACTCATAGTCAGTTTTTTTTTTTTTTTCATGTATAAAGAAATAGTCACAGACTCACAGTCAAAGTCAAAGGAAACGAAAGAGTTAAGAAAGAAATAGAATACGTGAATGAAAGTAATTAAACAAAGCGTGAATTCATAATACAAATGTTAAAAGTTGCTAAGAGCATGTCTTATTATGTATCATTAATTAGGAAAAGAAATAATGCTTAATAAAATATTACACACCTAATAGAGTCATTACGAGGGAGTGACTAAACGGCCGACTACCTTTAACCAACCCGTGAGCTATATTTTATAGTACTAGAGTTTAATCTTTATAAGCATGTAAAAATAANTATATATATATATTTTATTTTTTTTTTATTTTTTTCGTTAGTAAATATAAATAATTTATGGCGCAGGCTAAAAATGATAATACCCAAAAAAATAATCTACACTTCACAAATCACTTAAAATGTAATTACACAAAAAAATATTTTAGAGTAAGTATTTATTAAAAACTAAAAAGATAAAGTAGGTAACCTAATATAACAAATAAAAACACATCAATCCTATAAATACTATACTAACAATGCATACAAAGTTACTTATCTCATTTTACCTCTCCCATTTTTTTCAATTACATACTCATTTGAATTTGCATTGGATAAGGCTTATTAAAAATGAATAACTTACTACCAGAATTTTCTAAATTTTTTAAGCTCCAACTCTGATTAAGGTATATCTATCCCACCCCGAACTTTAGAGTGTGTTTGGATTGACTTTTAAATAAGTCAAATCAATTTTTAATTTTTTTTAGTTTTTTTTTAATATTTGACAAAGTTAAATAGTACCTAAAATAAATTAAAAATTATTTAAAACAAGTCAAAAGCTACCTTAACTTATTATTTTTGGCTTAAAAATTATTTCTCCTGAAAAATTATATTTTTGAGCAAATCCAAACGGGCTAGTAGTTTTACGGTCCCTTTACAACAACAATAACAACAACGATCCAGTATAATTCCACAAATGAGATCTGGGGAGGGTAATATGTACGCAGACGTTACCCCTACCCCAAAGGGAAGAGAGGCTGTTTCCAAGGACTATTTATACTGGGTCCCTTTACTATTATATAATTATAATAATACTGGTCCCATTCCTATCTCTTCCATTCTATAAATACGGCTGGAGGTACAGAAACATGTGAGAAAAAGTCCAACCACAATTGCGAGGGCCTCCATACTTGTTTTCACAGTGCTCATCCCGAGAAAGATCTAGAGTCCAACCCAGTATAAAACAACAATACAAAGAACAAGACTTTCTGCAAAAAAATTTGAGGTAAGTGTTAACTTTTTCCTCAATTCTCTGATGGCTGGATTACAGAGATCCACGACGTCGTTTCGGAGACAGGGTTCATCAGGACTTGTATGGGACGACAAAATATTGACAGCTTCAGGTGAATTGATTCAGCTGGGCCGCTTTCCAAAAGAAGAAAGTAGTACTAAAACTGACAGAGAAGAGAAAGAAGACCCAATTAGAGGAGCAAAACCCAAATTAGAGGTGTCGGTGGCTGTGAATAAGGCTTCATCGGAAACACCTGGATCCATTGAAAGGAGCCGATCTAACCGCGGTTTCCGAACCGGTAAGGTGTCGCCGGCAATAGAGCCGCCGTCTCCTAAAGTATCTGCATGTGGATTCTGTAGCGCTTTTGGGAAGAATGAAAAATCTAACCGACGACCCAAATCCGGTAAGCGAAAGATGTAATATTCCGGTGAAAAGGGAATATTAGGGTCAGAATTAAGTGGTTGGATGTTGAGTATGTTTCATCATCTCAATAAGGATGAGGTGTTAGAATTTTGGAGCTAAAAGACAATTGTGTACTTGTTTTATGCTTTGGCTTTTTTTGTCTGTAAGATTATTGTTCTTTAGGTTCTGCAATGGACAGTGTCTTAGCTGCCTTGCTTTTCTTGGTTGTGCATAAGCTTTAGCCTCTCTCTCTTCTTCTTTTTTTATAAATTTCTTCTTCTTCTTGAGCCGATGTGAGTCAGTTCTCGTTGTACAAAGGTTAAATCTGAAATTGGGTCCGTCTCTTGCTTTTATCTATCTTGTGGCATATGATTTGGGAATATCTCTTGCTTTATTTTCTGGTGCAAAATACTCCATGTTTGTTCTATAGACCTTCTCTCCACATACATATATTTTTATGTCTTCCTCCAACTTCCC